GTTGTTGACGTTGTTGAAGTCTGTGGGAACGTCTGATTGGTTGATGGATTTCAGTATGTTGGTTGCCAAAAGTTACTATCGAATGCGGGTGATTATTGTGACCATGAGACGGTGTAGGGAAGGAAGTTGAGGGTGAGTTAAAGGTTAATGAAGATGAATTAGGAGATTTGTGAGAGCGTTTCAGGTGTAAGTAAATTGTAGGGATGTCAATGTGACGGTTAAAAGTTTGTTTGTCTAAACTATGCCACGCTTCTTTAATCTCACGGGCATGTTTAGTAGTTACTTGTCCTAAGCATCTCGTTTGAGACCAGTCGAATTTGTGTCCGTTGTCGTCTGTGTGTTTAGCTGGAAGTGAGCTATGGTCGTGTCTGTTGATTGCGTTCTGGTGTTCTGTTAGTCTTGTCTGAATCTTTTTAGAAGTTTGTCCAATGTACTTATCCGGACAGTTTTTGCACGGGAAGATATAAATGGCGTTATGTTTATCCGTTATATGTGTCTTGTCTTTGTGTTTAGTGAAGTTGGACCTAAGTTTGCATGTTGGTTTGTGTGCAACGTCAATGTTGAAAGGTCGGAGGAGTCTAGCTGCCATTTCTGATGTAGTGTGTATGTAAGGAAGTGTAATTCTCGTTTTTGTTTGGTTAAGTCGGTCCGTGTTGTAGCACCTTATTAATGAAGTCTAAAGGGTAGCAATTTTTGTAAAAAGTAGAGTATAAATACTTGCGTTCATCTTGTTTGGATTGATCAGTGTTACAATGTGTGTCAATTCTGTTGAATAGAGTCTTTATGCAACTGACTTTGTGTTGTGTTGGGTGATTGCTATTGTAATTTAAAATTTGATCAGTGTGTGTTTTCTTACGATAAACTTGTGTGGTTAAAGTGCCGTTGTCTGTTTTTGTTATTAGGACGTCCAAAAATGCGAGTTTGTTGTCATTTTCTTCCTCTTTGGTAAATTTGATGTTCTTAGTGGTGTTGTTAATTGTTAGTAGGGTGTCGTCTGTTTTGTCCTTTTTTGACAGTAGCAAGTACATCGTCTACATACCTGTCCCATGTTTTAATGTCGTCATTGTTTGTAACAGCTTTACTTTCCAGATCTTGCATCAGTGCCTCAGCAAGGAAACTGGAAAGTGGTGACCCCATAGGAGTGCCGGAGATTTGTCGGTAGTAATTGTTCTGGAAGCAGAACCGCTTGTCAGATATATTTACTGTGGCTTGGTAGATAACAGATTTTGCTAGACAATTTTTTGACATAGGGCACTCACTTGGTTTTTGGCTATTGCATTTTTTTTCGTCGGTGGTTGTAGCTCGGTGGGATAGCTTGGATTTATTATGTCCGTCGATGTTTTGTTTAAAATTACTCATGCAGCTGTAGCTAATCTTGACGGTATTTCTGTTGAATATCTTGTGTAAGATATGGCCTGCGGGAAATTCCTCGTCTAGAATCTTTAAAAAGGTCTGGCCAATATTAGTAGCGACATTTTTGCTGAACGGTGGGTTGTACCAGGTTATATTTCGTTTCCGACTCCTTGAGTTGATGGTATTTTGGGATGTCGGAGGTTGTTGGTATTTCAATTTATGTCGATAACCGCTCTTTGTTAGGGCGTCTTGATATAATGGCACTGCACGCTGAAACGAGTCTTCATCAGATGAAATTTCAGAAAGGCGATTGCTGATCGCTGCTGGTATGTTGTCTAGTATTTTGGGTGGATGGTTTGATTTGTTGTGGACGTAAAGTGGAATATTGTTGGGTTTAGTGAACGGCTGATACTTTTGGGTAGACAGATTCAGGGTGACGTCTAAAAAATCTACTATTTTCTTGTTGGCTTCGATGGTAATTTTTAAGCCATGATTGTTGAAGATGGAACAGATATCTTTTTTGATAATTTCAATTATACGGGGGGTTCCTTTTATAACACCTAGCCCGTCATAATCTCGATAGAGGCCAAAATTCTCACCGTGTTTTTGGGTGATCTTGTGTAACAGAAAAGATCCGACCAGCTCGCATGATTCCGCCCCGTCATAACTACCCATAGTCACGTCAAACAGGTTGGATGATGTTTTCTTGCCCCAGTGCTCTCTAGAATTATATAGGCATGATTTCTTTGCATGCAGAAAAATATCTCTTTCATCATCCGTGATGTCGTCATAATTTGAGGCGAAATCTAGCGCTGCGTTGAGAAGATCAATTGAAATAGATGGGTAGAAGTCAACCACGTCAAAAGCAATGAATGAATATTGATCTTTGTTCGGGATGTTATTGAACCATGTTAACACAGATGAGGTGTTTTTCCACTGGTTGACTCCAATACTTGCAATTAATTTTGGTTGATTCGATCAAGGAGTTGTTTGCTTACTTTGACAATTTCTGATTTGGCTGGGTTAATAAAGTGACAGGTAGGATTATTTTTGAAGTTAGGTTTATGATCTTTTAAGGTGATAAACGCTTCACGCTCGGCTGTAATATTAATCCTGTCAGCAAGATTTAATTTCGTCGCAATATCTTTAGCCTCGTTGTTGATTGAAGATACGGTGTCGGGTGTAATTTTTTTGTATGTTTTTGTTATATTCTTTTGGAGAAGCTTGTTGCAAGAAGGAGAGTACATTTTGTAGTAATTTGTAGTTTTGTCAGCCGGTACGAATAATTTGTCAGATGTCCTGATGTTTCTTATATCTGAGGATATTTTGTTTCGGAATGGGCAGTTGACTTTCTTGAATTTTACATTTGCGATCATGAAATTTCTTATATGTATATATTATATATATATATATATATATATATATATATATATATATATATATATATATATATATATATATATATATATATATATATATATATATATATATATATATAAGAGAAATATTAATATATAAACGAGTATGTTTATGACATTCATTCAGTATATATTTCATTCAGTATATATTTCATAATTTCCAGTCTTAAATCCGTCTGACCGTGTAGCTCAGTTGGTAGAGCATCGATCTAGTAATTCGAAGGTCGCGGGTTCAAGACCCAGCCGCGGCAGACAACATCTTTCTCTTGCGCTGGGTATGGAAATTATATAATACATACTCTAGAACATTTTTATCTTAACATATTACAGAGTGTACAATTACACAACTAACATATATATATATATATATATATATATATATATATATATATATATATATATATATATATATATATATATATATATATATATATATATATATATATATATATTAACTGACCTTAATAACTCAATTTCGTCGTAACGCCAGTTGCCTTTAGTCATCTTTTCTGGGTTGGATGGCAATGGGTTCAAGTAAAATTTTTTATTTTTGTCTTTGTCAAGGATCTACACCAATCAGAATAAATCAGAATAACTATATGTATGTCCATAACAACTAGGAGATTCTGATCGTATTTGATCTCTGACAGACGTCCTTCCTCAATTAATAGCAGATTAATATGAAGATAAAGATAGTATGTCAAAAAATTAATGTAAGGAGTAACAAATTATTATTTCTTGCAATACAAACTGACTGTAACGTTTTCTATACTACTACACTAGATGATATACTTTTCGAAAAAAGGGCAAGAAATAATTTCAGAAAGGTGGCGGAATAGTGAAACAAAATCCAGAAAATCGTAATAGTCATGATTATACTCGCAGCTTCCTGATATGGAAACATGCAAACATACTAGCATAGTCAATCAAAATATTGTCTTCATGAAACTGCGCAAATATTTATTTTATATTTCTGTTCATTTCTTGTGAACGGTGAAGCCAATGCATTTTTTTTTTCATCATGAAGCGAAATTAAACGTCGACCGGCTAGTCTCCTCACTTATATAGTTAAAATGAGCTTGCGTTTAATTGCTTTTCTGAAGAAAAGATGACATCAAACACTTAATTGCTTTCAAACCGGTAACGTTTTGTCCAATAAACATGGTCGTGCCGATAGGCGAGTTTTCCGGGATCCGATCCCTCGCCAATAAGGATTGAAAAATAATGGTGCATGAATAGAATGATTAATGCAAGGTGTTCTCATCAATTCATCCCACTAATCCATTTATGTACTAAAAATGTGCAATTTATTGCTTTGACGACTGGGTATGAGTCAGTAGCAGGATCATATAAACAGCTCTTGATGTGATATAATCGTTTTTGATGGTATAGTAGCCAGTGTTGTAACGAGTCGAGTCATTGACTCGGACTCGAGTCGACTCGAATTGCTATTTTCAGCGACTCGACTCGAGTCCAAAACGAAAAATGACTCGACTCGAGTCAACAGCCCCAAATGACTCGACTCGGACTCGACTTGCTGATTTTGCCGTAAATGACTCGAGTCAACTCAGCTACAACTTGTATTGTAGAGAATAAATTCATCAAAAATATTGTGATTGTATTGCTTGGGAAGAACAATGCATGAGCCCTGTGAACAATGAGAACTTTGAAACTTTATCAGAAAATATATGGGATTTGCATAGAATACAGTATATTCCTGACGGGTAGGCCTATATTACATTTCTGTTTTTAGAAACAACGCTAGTGCCACAGTTTTTAAAACGGAGTCTCAATGCTGATTCTGACCGGCTATCTTCATTTTTGGTATTTATGAAGTGCTATATAATTTCAAATTAACTTACAAAGCATGGTTAATTAAAGTCTATTCTTTGTTAATTGTGACTCCAGTTGCAAGTTATGCTAGTTGTATATACGTACACTCGATCAGCAGGCATGATGAGACATCTCATGTGGTTGTACTTAATATTAACTAGAACTGTGATATTGGTACAGCCTATGGCTGCCCAATGACTAAAGTGATTAGCTTAAAACGTAGATTTGATTATTAATTTCAAACTCCAAGCTAAGGTAGCGAACCATTACAAAAAGCGTGAGGTGGACCATTCTCGTCCCCAGAGCCATTTTCACTCGGTCACTCGTTGAAAAGTAGGCTGTGGGTTAGGCGACTAAAGCGAGAGATCGGATTGGCTTCTCAGAGAAATCCTATTTCGCAGAAGTTGAGCAGTTTTAGCTAGGAAAAATTATTCTATCAACATATGTCAACGCAAATACTTCGTTTCTTCGTAATACTTCACTTTGAAAATTGTTACGGGTGCTAAAGTGTCCCAATTCAAGACCATGCGCTTTAGAAACTACTGCAAGTTTACGTACACTTCCGGTTCCGTATGTTCCAGGGCCTAGGGAGGACGCGCGCGGCCGAGAGGCCCTGGGGACAAGGATGTGGGTGGACTTGATCAAATTCCCTTACTCAAGTTAAGTCTAGCTATTGACTCGACTCGACTTAAACCAATGACTCGACTTGACTCGAGTGAAACTGCTGACTCGACTCGACTCGACTTGACTCGAGCGAAGCCACTGACTCGACTCGATCAGAAACTGAAATGACTCGACTCGTGACTCGACCGTTGAGTGACTCGACTCGACTCGTGACTCGACCTATAGGTGACTCGTTACAACACTGGTTACAGAGAATATAAAAAGGAAGGAAACTATGTCTACTACTATATGTACATTATCAAAAGCTACTGTAATCCGCGATGGTGTGTCCCAGATAAAGATATGATTAACTGAATCTAAACTCGGTTATTCACATCACAAATTTTGTTTTATACAACTTTTAGGCCTAAATATATAAATTGATTGAGCTTGCTTAGCTTCAAGCGGAAGGTTATTCCAAAGATAAGCACCGCTATATTGAAAGCTTCTTTTGAGAAATTCTCTGTTTGGCTTTGGAAGGGTCAGATCAGTTTGAAAATTGCTAAGATTATAATTGTTTAGTAAAATATTTCTACTTATGAATTAATCTTTCGGAGTTGGTGCAGCACTATTACTCAAGACTTTATATAGGAATGTTGCCTTGGTTAAGTGCCATCTTCAATCCTGGACATAAATTATTGGCAAAAGGGTAAAAAATAAGAAAATTCATCGAATTTCACCCCTTCCCCTAATATCAATGTTGATGGGTGTATTCGAGGCCAGATAACTTGGCCGAACATTGATATTGGGGGAAGGGGGCATCATTGGGACAAACATGTCTTAAAATTATATTTTGAAGTAATAAACTAGTTTTTGCCACTTTTTTGTCCAGGATTGTTGTTACCAAATTTACCCAGTCAAGAGTTCGAAGAACGTCAGCAGATCTGATCTCATAACTGGCGCCAGCTATTATTCTGGCAGCCCGATTTTGGAACTTTTGTAAATTTACGAGCAAATACAAGACTATTTCGTATATTGAAAACAATTAACATTACACAGATAACTGCCTGTTGGCCACCATGACGATAATGAACCGCATATAATCACTCTATTTTTTTAGGACTGAGAAAAAGAGAAAGTTCCTCGCCCCGCAGAAAAATGCAAAACAAGTGGCGTGGGATGGAAGTGACAGTGACTCCAGTTTCGATGACAACGTCATCCCAATAGGTAGGCAACGTTGCCAAGGTAAAAATAATATTTGAATAGACATATCGCGAAAGCCGGAAAATTCAGGTTTCTACTGCACTTCCGGTTTTGAAGAATGTTTGATACAGAGATACTTCAAGTTGTAGTTTAGTTGCAATAATTCACGTTTCTGTGAGTTCATCATTAGAAATCTTGCGAAACAATGGACATGTTGGGGGTTTTGCGATAGGTCTGTTCTTCGTACAAGTACATGATGATCGAAGTGGCAGTCACGTTCGTTCTGCTTATGCCCGTGTTTAATTTACATATTGTTTGCAAGCAATTCAATTAAAATTGTTGCCATTACCACACATTACTTCATTACGCATTTAGTATAACATTAGCTGCTAATCAGAACACATTTTAAAGAGCGAACGTTAAGAAGCAGCTCTGGTGCATAAAATTTACACTATACTTTACATAGAATTTGACGATGATCGTTGGTGCACAATGCCATAAAATACACATTGAGTAGAAGCTTGTGTAAATTAAAAAAGTAAAAAACCTAAAACAAGCACGAACAATATTTAGCTTTATAACTCTCCATAATATATCATCATATCTTCAGGTATTGCAAGAAAGAAAAAGAAAACTGCTAAGTGCGCCTGGTCTCAAGATGAGATGGACTATATCCGGGATGGTATCCAAATGTTCGGTGCAGGGGATTGGGCAGCGATACGCGATCATTATCCATTTCAAATTGCCCATCAAAACTCAGTTAAGATTAAAGATAAGTATCGCAATATGGTGAAGAATGGACTGATCGTTGAAGAGCAATAAGAATTCAAAGTAGTCTTTAGTGTTGGGTTGTACGCAGTGATCAAACTACAGATCGGGTTGTGTTGTATAGTGCACTATATACAGAGTTTGCTCTGTAGTGATACAACATTGAGAATTCCTCGTGCAACATGGCCTTGGGGAACAAACCAGGGATAGCAAGGAGGAATTTAATTCTCGACCAATCAATGCATTTGTTGACATTTTCGTCAAGTTCATTTTCGTCATTTTTGACAAGTCTACTTCCGGTAAAAACATACATTTGAACAGAATATTTAGGGTCTTTATAAATAAAGGTTCGAAGGGGTCAGGATTTTTAATGTTTCTGATTGGATTCAACCTGAGAATTTAAAATAAGAAGTTTTCTAAAAATTTGACGCTGGGATATGCGTCTTATTGCCTAGTTTGAAAGTTATCGGCATTCGGACAGCGTCGTATAAAAAGCGCGAAAGTTCGAATGCCGATAATTTTAGAACAAGACCATAAAACGCAAATCCCAGTGGCAAATTTTTAGAAACCTTATCTTTCCTTGTCACGTTGAATCCAATAAAAAATTAAAAATTCTGATCCCCTCGAAGTTTAATTTAAGACCCTAAATTTTCTGTTCAAATGTTTTTTACCGGAAGTGGGTTTTCTGGACTCGCAGGGAAACTACCTACAATAGCCAATTACGCATTCTGATTGGCTTAGAGCGAAATTGTCAAAAAAATGCGCTGATTGGTCTAGAACAAAATTCCCCCTTGTTACCAGAGACACGTGCATACAGCTATTTCAATTAAGGTTGTCCACGAGCAAAGCGGAAAAGTCGAATACGAGCGCGAAAGGCTGCTGGGAACCGCTTTGAAAATTCATTAATTTGTTAACGATTCCCAGCGCTCGTATTCGACTTTTCCGCTTTGCTCGTGGACAACCTCAATTGAAATAGCTGTATATACTGGGATATTTGCGGTAATCGTCGATGAAATAGAATGAACTAACAGTAAAAGGAAGTATATACTTTTCCGAAAGTCTCGCTGTTTCCCGAAACGAAGTCTTGGAAGAGTTTCGAAGGGAAACAAAACTATTTCAGAGGGAACAGACATTAGTAAAGTGTGTTGCTACAGTATATAGCGACGAAAGAAAAATCAACAATGTTCATACAAGCAAAAGTTTATATTTAAAAGAACCTACTTAAATGGTTGCCTGTTGTGTATTTTTTCTCTTTAACATTTCTTTATTTTAACACAAACTTGGAAAATCGTAGTTTATAAACTTGCGACTTGTGCCGCCATTTTGTTTATTTATGTACGTAGCCGGTCAGGGCGGGCAACAATTTTTCATGTGTTCCCCCGGAGGGATCACTGAGCGGGATACATTGCATTTATCTAAAGTCAGCCAATCACGTTTGGTGTTCACCCTAGCTATATAACAACATAATATATATATTAGTCATTCTCAGAATTTGGCATGCACAGATACAATGATTCGGGGTGGAGCTTCATGTGACAATGGACTAACTAGGGTTAAAGCCGAAAGGGTCGAAATTTCCGCTATTCCCCTTTTTCAGTATAGAATGCCTGACGGAACAGTAAAGCTCGTGATCTATATGTGTTTGTATACAAAGAAAAAATTGGTTTGTATCAACTGATATAGTATCAGAACGTTATCGAAGATAATTTTGCCATTAACTTTGTCTTTGTTGATTTCCTAGTTCAAATTTTGTCACTTGAATCTTGATTATTTTAGTTTGCTGTATTAACTTTGCTTTATGCATTTGATCGATTCTTGGATATAAATAAACGATAATCAAGAGAATCGTTTGCTGTGTTTGTTTGATGTACTTAGTTCGGAGGCATTAAGCGAATTAGCGAACATATCAACGCACAGAAATATTTGTTCCGCTAAAGCTGCAGTTGGCGGAGTTGCACGAGCAACAAAATTGCTGCAACTTGCATCAAAATCTGATTTCAACGCATGTCAAGTAGAAATGTGGACACATGTTGCCTTGTGATTTGTAATTTATGAGTAAACATTTTCAACTAACATGCGTAGAAAACAGATTTTGTTGCAAGCAATTCTGTTGCTCGTGTAACTCCACCTTAAGGAAACGTTTTGGAAAGCAAGAATAAATAAATAAGATCTTAGACTTAGTTTTCTTGTGTTTTATTCCATATTGTCTGCATTTTACACCAAATCCGCAATTTTAGTCGCAGTTAGTATTATACTGACCAATAAAAAGTTACAATAATATGGACCTAATAGAATATCGATGTCTCAAGAAATATTAAACGTACCAACTGTCCATTTCCGTAAAAATAGACCTTACCGATTATTCTCTTTTTCCCAATGACCTCGTTTCCATGTTAACATATTTTAGCATGTCAGGGGCAGACAAAGATTACATTCCCATGTTTTCCTGAACGAATTTGTTTCTTGTTCTTCTTTGGCACAATAACAAAGTAATTTTTAACCCTGTTAAGCACAAAACATGAGTAAGTATTTGACACGAACGGCGAGGCCATCGGGTGAATAAACGGTAAGGTATAATAACATGTGACCACTTGAGCGGACGTCTTTTTGGTCAACTCCATAATCTACTCTTATCCGTGAAGGCCACAAGCCATCTTCACGTTGAATTGCATCTTCGAACAAGGACAAAACTGTTGTTGCAAGGTTATTTGAATATCCATCAATACATCCATCGATAACAAATCCCCATCCAGTGGCGCCGGAAAGTCGATAATTGGGGG